CACCCTTTCGCCTTTCCGCCTCTCACCTTCGCCTCTCTCGCTCTCAACCATCCTCATACTCACTTCGAATTCACCGGCTCTCCCCCTCCTCTCACCTTCGCCTCTCTCGCTCTCATTCTCCTCTCGCTCTCACCATCCTCTCACTTTGAATTCACGCTCTCACTCTCCTCTCGCTCTGCACCTTTCGGCCTTTAGGCTCTCTCCCGCTTCCTCCTCACTTCGCTTCTCCGCTCTCCCACTCCTCTCTACGCTTCGACCATTCCTCTCACCTTCGCCTTTCACGTCTCGCCATCTCCTGTCACGCTTCGCTTCCGCTCTCCCCCTCCTCCTCACCTTTCGCCTTTCGCTCCTCTCCTCTCTCCTCTCAACGCATTCGCCTTTCGCTCTAACTCCCTCTATCACCATTCGCCTTTCGCATTCTCCCCCTCCTCTCACGCTCCGCTTTTCGCGCTTCCTCCCTCCTCTCACCTCCGCCTTTCGCTCTTCCACCTCTTCTCAACCCTCGCCTTTCGCTCTCCCCCTCCTCTCACCTTCGCCTCCCTCTGCTCTCCCGTCCTCACCTCTCACCTTCGCCTCCCTCGTTCATGCCCCCCCTCCTCTCACCTTCGGCCTCCGCTCACTCTCACTATCCTCTCACTTTGGGCTTCACGCTCTCACGTCTCCTCTCGCTCTCACCTTCGCCTATCGCTCTCCCCCCCTCCTCTCACCTTTCGCCTCCCTCGCTCTCCCCTCTCTCACCTTTCGCCTCTCTCGCTCTCTCATCCCTCTCCACCTTCGCCTCTCCGCTCTCACCATACCTCTCACTTTCGCCTCTCGCTCTCACTTCGCGCTCTCCTCGGTCTCCCCCCCTCCTCTCACTTTCGCCTTTCGCCTCTCACTTTCGCCTCTCTCGCCTCTCCGCTCCTCTCACCTTCGCCTTTCGCTCTCCCCGCCTCTCCTCTCAGCTTTCGGCCTCTCGCTGCATCACCTTCGCCTTTCGCTCTCCCCCTCCTCTCACCTTTGGCTTCAATGCTCCTCACTCTCCTCTCGCTCGCTCATTTCGCCTTTCGCTCTCCCTCTCCTCTCACCTTCGCCTTTCGCTTCTTTCCCCCCCCCCCCTCCTCTCAACCTCCGCCTTTTCGCTCTCCCTGCCTCTCACTTTTCGCCTCACGCTCTCTCCTTCACCTCTCTCCGCTCTCCCCCCTCCTCATCACTTCGCCTTTTCGCTCTCCCCCTCTCTGCATCCTTCGCCTTTCGCTCGTCCCCCTTCCTCTCACCTCCGCCTCTCGCTCTCCCCCTCCTCTCACCGTTCGCCTTTCGCTCTCCCCCGTCCTCCTCACCTTAGCGCCTTTCCGCTCTCCTCTACCTCTCACCTCCGCCTTCGCTCTTACCCATGCCTCTTCAACTTTGAATTCACGGCTCACGTCTCCTCTCGCTCTCTCTCCCTCCTCTCACCTTCGCCTTTGCGCCTCTCCCCCTCCCTCTCACCTTCGCCTTTCGCTCTCCCCCTCCTCTCACCTCCGCCTCTCGCTCTCACCCCTCCTCTCACCTTCGCCTTTCGGCTCTCCCCTCCTCTCACCTTAGCCTTTCGCTCTCCTCTACCTCTCACCTCCGCCTTTCGCTTCTTACCATCCTCTCACTTTGAATTCACGCTCACTCTCCTCTCGCTCTCCCCTCCTCTGCACCTTTCGCCTTCCGCTCTCCCCCCTCGCCCTCACCTTCGCCTCTTCTCGCTCTCAACGTCTCCCCCTCGCTCTCACCTTCGCCTTATCTGCGTCCATCTCCGCCTGCGTCAGGTCGGACAGCAGCGCTAATCCAACATCCGCGGAGCGGATCATGGCCTGGATCTCGGAGGCGGTCAGGACGGAGGCGCCGCCGACGGCTGCTCTGTCGCACGCGGTGATGCCGGTGGCTGTGGGCGTCGGGGAAGTTAGGGCGGGTTACTTGCTGTGCGAGTTGGGGAGGAGGTGTTAGGTTGTACTGTGTTGTGTGTGTGGTTTGTGGGTATTGGTGTGTGTTGTGGTTTTGCATCCTGTACGGTGTGTGTGCTGTGTGGTGTTGTGTGGTTGCATCCTGTACGGTGTGGTGTGCTGTGTGTGTGCGTGCTGTGAGTATGTTGTTTTGTATTGTGCTGTAATGTGTGGTGTTGTGTTGCATCCTGCTGTACGGTGTGCGTGTTTTGTGTGTGTGCTTTGTATTGCATTGTGCTGTTCACATGATTATTCCCCATTCTAGGATCTAATCTATCCATCTTTGACCCAACAACTATTAAAAATCTACTTCATCGATAGACAGATCTCGGCCGCTGTGTCTCCGCCTCCCTCACTCACATCTCCTCCTCCTTCTTCGCGCCGCCGTGCTGAAGTCGCCGAGGTTCTTCAGCGCCGCCTCGATCTGCCTCTCCTCCAGGTCCTCCGCCGCCTCCATGGTCTCCTTGACCGCCTTCTCGCCCATTTCTGAGACGCACATGCTCTGCGGAGGCAATGGGCGGTGCTTAGTGACTGGAGATAGTGGGTGAGGATCGATGTCTTAGCAATGGCAGATATATTGGAACTGTTGAGATGTAAAAGTTAAAGGTAATGTTATAACAGCAGAGAGATATGAATGTTACAGGTAATGTTATAACAGCGAAGAGATATGAATGTTAAGGTAATGTTATAACAGCGAAGAGATTATGAATGTTTACAGGTAATGTTATAACAGCAGAGATATGAATGTTACAGGTAATGTTATAACAGCAGAGAGATGTAAAAGTTACAAAGTAATGTTATAACAGCCAAAGAGATATGAATGTTACAGGTAATGTTATACAGCAAAGAGATATGTAAAGTTACACGTAATGTTATATAAGCAAATAGATATAAAAGTCACACGTAATGTTATAACAGCAGGTACTTAACAATGTAAAATCGATAGTGTATACAATGTTTTCTGCACCTTGGGACTCGTGCATCTTTTCCCAAAGACGTTAATAGAACTCTTGCCTATATCATCTTCTCATATGTATGCTATTCGTTGTAAATCCATTGAAACAGATAGACGCAGAACAATTATGAACAGCCCAAGAATGTTGTCCGCAACACACACACACATTTGTTCATGCTTTCCATACTAAAAATCACACACACACACACACCACACACACACACACACACACACACACACACACAACACACACACACACCGCACACACACAACACCACTTTACATAGCCTCCCTCTCCTCATCATTCTCAACCCTTGCCCCCTCTCTCTCTTTACCTCACCTTGCTCCAGCCCTCTCCCTCTCAATTCCCCTCACTCCATGCTCCCTTTGCCTCACCCCCTCACCCACGAACACCCTTACCCTCACATTACCTCCATCCCTCTCTCCCTTCAACACCAACCCTCACCCACACGAACACCCTCACCCTCACATTAGCTCTCCCTCTCTTCCTCTCTTCCCCTCTCCAACACCAAACCCTCCCCCACACTCCTCACCTCGCCCTCCTTGAATCGATAACCCCCCCCGAGGCACTCCTTAACTCCTTAACACGCAACACAAACCTCGAGGGAGTCGATCACGTCCTGGGTGCCTGGAGGAGGAGGAGGACAGGTGCAGGAGCTGGCCACGTCGGCGGGGATCATGTTGAACTGGGAGGCCTCGAGGAACCCCATCAGGCAGCAAACGTCCTTAGCGTCCTGCCACTCGCTGAACTCTCTGATGAATGACGAGAAAAAAAAGAAAAAAATGAAAAAAAAGGTGTAATGATTGTATGGTAAAAAGTACAACGAATGTATGAGATAAAGTAATGATGGATATGTGAAATGAAACGGGTATAATAAAATAAAACGGATAAATAAATGTATGATAAAATAAAACGGATATATGAATATATAATAAATAAAACGGAATAAATAATATAATAAATACAGCGGTTAAAGAATATAATGAAATAAAACGGATAAATGAAATAAGAAAATAGAATTGCATTGTAAAATTACATAATATGATTTTCTTCGACTTGATAGCTTGCCAAAAATTACCCTCCTTAAACATATGAATCACTTTAAATGGCATTTAGCAACTGACACTGTTTGTCAAGCTGTTCCCCAAACGGACCAAACAGAAGCAGTAACAAAACAGGAAAACCAAACAACAAGAACTTGAACAGGAAAGAAAAGGAAACAAAAATAGAAAAATAAATAAATAAAAAATAAATAGATAAAAATAAATAAATAAATAAATAAATAAATAGATAAAAATGAATAAATAAATAAATAGAAATTAATAGATAAAAATAAATAAATAAATAAATAGAAATTAATAAATAAAAATAAATAAATTAATAAATAAAACGAAGTGCAAAGACAAATCTTGGAAATATTTACCCCTTGACTTTCTTGACAGCGTCGGCCATGGCACTTCTCTCTGCACTTGACAAGCAGGGTGCCATTCCAGAGCTGAAGGCATCCTGTGATAATGAATTCAAAAGTTATTAAAAGTTAATTGTTATTATATAGACATTTATTATTTATACGGCTATCCGAAGTGGGCGATTAAGAAGGAAGGTAGGGGGGAGGAGAAAGAAAGGGGGAAGGAGGAAAGGAAGAAAGAGTGGGGAAAGAGGCTGAAAGAGGAATAGGAGATGGGAAAGAAGAAAGGGATGGGGGGGGGCTAGAGAAAAAGGAATAAGGGCAAGTAAAAAAACAAACAAACAAACAAACTCACTCGTTGGGGGTAAAGACATATACAAATCTTAATCAACATTTCCACTTTCCATGTAAAGAACGATGGATATAATAATAAAAAAGAAGAAATATGCTTTGTCTGAATTTGAGAAATACATTTGTAAGTTTCCACAACCTTTCAAAAGTTTTTTTTTTTTTTTTTTTTTTTTTGAGATTCCATAAGGTTTTGCTTCTAATTAAAAATCATACCAGCAGACTAGATTGTTTCATGGATTTCTGTTGACTATTTTATGTGAAATAAATAAACATTTTTTTTTTTTAACTTTCAATGTCAGAACAAACTTCGATGATCCAATGTTTTGTAGCGACCACGAGCCCAAATCAAACAATGTATCAAAGAGATTGGGTTTTCGAGATTCCATAAAAAAGCGTGCACACAAATACACACACACACTGACATACACACACACACACACACATACACACAGACACACACACACGCACCACACACACACACATAATATATTCACACACACACACACACACACACACACACACATATATATTTCACACACACATACAACACACACCACCCACACCCACACACACAAACAAACAAACACACACACAAACACACAAACACACACACACACACACATACATATCTAAAATCAACAGAAAAACTTGAAAAAAAACAAAACAGAACTAACTCACATTGGCCAAGTTTACCAGCAGCTCCGCCCCGGCCATGGACAGGCTCCTGATTCGCTCCGCCGGCAGATCCAAAGCCGCCTTCCCCATCATCTCTATATCTCCTGTGTTCAGCTCGGTCTTGTCTCCCTGGGGGGGGAAGGGGGGGGGGGGACTTGCTAACTCGGGATAATGATGTTTGTATCTCTTAGGTAGCGTGTAGTCATGGTTATTCATGGTAGAGGGAAAATAGTGTTGTTTGTGTTATCTATGGTATTGTGAGTGTCATGGTAGATGGAAATATATGTTATTTATGTTATCTATGGTATTGTGTGTTTGTATTAATGGTAGAAGGAAATATCTGTTATTTATATTGTCTATGGTATTGTATTTGTTGTATTCTAATGTTTTTTTTAATGAAAATATCGTTACTTTAAAGTATGTCAATGATTCTATGTTATTGTCTATGGTATTGTATTTGTTGTTTTCTAATTTTTTTTAATGAAAATATCGTTACTTGGTAAAGTATGTCAATGATTCTAGTGATAAGTCACTCACGGAAGGCATCGACGAACAACTGTGAACATTCAATTATTTTCTTATCTATAAGATTACCAACCCTATCAATTTAAACAAGAAAAGAACACCAGAACGCCAAAATAGATACATAAAAAGACAAACGAATATAAGGAAGAATAACGAAGAAAACAATAAAAAGACAAACGAATATAAGGAGGAATGACGAAGAAAACTGAAACGAAAACTGAAGAGAAAGTAAGAGGACGAGGCCGACTCTTCTTACCAGGGCCCGGTCGAGGATTCTCTGTCTGGCCGATTTGGTCATACTCATGGAGTTATCTCGAGCCACCATTCGTCCCATGATCATCTCCATCTGCTCTCGGGGCAGCTTGTCCAACGCCTCTGGGCTTTGAATAAAATGCGCGACGTCAGTCAAGTGCCAGGAACACATGCTATTACCGCACGACGTGATAATCAATATAGGAAAGTAAAGAGAGGACGATAACTTGCAAACACAGTGGTTGTATAGTGGCTAAACACTCTTATCTTTCTGAATGTTACTGTTATAATATCTGGATGTTGTTCTCGTGGTTCTCACTTTAAAGGCATTGTCAACCATTACTAGGAATGAAGGGAATTGAAGGAGAGGGATTGAGCAAGGCGAGGTAAAGAGAGAGAGAGAGAGGGGGCAAGGGTGAGAATGATGAGGAGAGGGGAGGAATGATGTAAAGTGTGTGATGTGTGTGTGTGTTGTGTGTGTGTGTGTGTGTGTGTGTGTGTGTGTGTGTGTGTGTGTGTGTGTGTGTGTGTGTGTGTGTGTGTGTGTTGTGTGTGTGTGTGTGTGTGTGTGTGTGTGTGTGTGTGTGTGTACTTGGTGTGTGTCTGCGTCTCTCTCTCTCCATCTCTCCTCTCTCATCTCTCTCTCTCTTTCTCTCTCTCTCTCTCTCTCTCTCTCTCATCTCATCTCTCTCTCTCTTCCTTTTCCATCTCTCTCTCTCTCTTTCTCAGACTCAGTTCTATATTTAAGGATATGAGAGCTGTTAGAAGGACATACGCACGAGGGAAACGCCAAGAGAGCCCTCCCCGCTTACCCAAGAGCTGCCAGGACGCAGGGAGGAGTGTTCTCGACCTCAGTGGGCGTCAGGATCAGCGCCGCCTCATCAGGTTCGTCGACGCCCGTGTTGTTTTTCAGGACCTCCATGCAACGAAGGGAAGGGCAAGAGCACGAATATGCGAAGGCCTTTTCACTATTGAAGAAGGAGGGAAAAGGAGGAGAGGAAGGAGGAGGACGAGGAGGAGGGGGAGGGAAAGGAGGGGAGGAGGTAGAGGAGGAGGAGGAGGAGAGGGAGGCCTTCGGCATATTCGTGTGTTTTCTTGCCCTTCCCTTCGTTGTTCCTGTTGCAATCTGTTCAACATGAGTTCCACACCGCGAGGGATGGTCAAGGGCTAGGCATGTATTTTATGATAGCTTCTTATGTGGACTTAGACATGTGAATTTAGACATCCAATGGTACTTTCAAGTTACTTTTGTAGATGTTACTGGTTCACCATTAGCATGTTAATAGGCAGAGAATGGAATGAGCTGTTTCGTAGACCTTTTCTTATAGTTGTACAAAGCAGATTTATTAGAACACCAATTTCT